CTTTCTGTCTCTTGGGCTAATACTTTCCTTGTGTCTTTGGTGTTCTTCATTCTCCTTTGCTCCAGGTGGGTTGGGACCAATTGATGTATCTTAGATGGCTGCTCACTAGCTTTAAAAAGGCCCCAGACGCCACTCACCAAAGTGGGATGCAGAACATTTTCTTAATAAACTTTGTTATGCCAATTAACCTAGATGTCCCCTGAAACCATGGTCCCTAGACCCTCGCCCCTGCTACTCTATCCTTTAAAGTGTTTGTTTGTGTTCAGGAAACTTCTTAGCTTTTGGTTTAGTCCAGTTGTGCTGACTGCCCCTGTAGTACGTGTTGTCCTTCCCTTCACCTAAGATAATTCTTGTCTACTATCTAGTTAGTGAATACCCCTCTCCCTCCCTCTGCACCCTCATAACCATCAAAGAATGTTTTCTTCTGTGTTTAAACCTTTTTTTGAGTTCTTATAATAGTGGTCCTATACATTATTTGTCCTTTCGCAACTGACTAAATTCACTCAGCAAAATGCCTTCCAGATTTCTCCATGTTATAAGATGTTTCACAGATTCATTGTTGTTCTCTATCGTTGCATATACTATTCCGATCCATACATATTTTCACTGGCTGATTTTTCGGAAGACTGCCAGGCCTTTCTTCCTACTCTTAGTCTGAAAGCTCCACTGAAACCTGTTCAGCATCACAGAAACACTCAAGCCTTCACTGACAAATGGGTAGCAGCTGTGCTTGAAGAGCGTTGGCTGGAAATCTAACCCAGGTCTTCCACACTGAAGGCAGTAACTCTACCACTGAATCATCACTGCCCCCTGAAAGCCAGACATTGCATATGACAAAAAACAAAAAACCACCCTAAAAAACCAAACTCATTGCTGTCGAGTCAATTCTGACTCATAGTGTAAGACAAAGTAGAACTGCCCCCATAGAGTTTCTTCTTTACAGAAGCAGACTGTCACGTATTTTTCCCTCACAGCCGCTGCTGGGTTTGAACCACCAGCCATTGAAGCTCCCAGTACAGTCACAACTGCAGTTCCCTGCAAGGCAGAGCAGGTTGTGGGTTGATCACACAGTCTAGTCAGGGGCTGAGCTGAGTTGGGGGTAGGCTGCATTTGTGTGAGACCCTGTCTACCTCTAATTTTCCCTCCAGGAAACTTTCCACTGTGAGCTCAGTGGGTCCTTGCCCCCCAGCACCAAGAGATGCAGGACATCCCTTCTGTTCTCCGTGGTTTCACTGCACAGCGCAATAGATTGTTGTCCTGTGCAGCATCAGAATTTGGCATATTTCTCAAGTGGGGCCTGGTCATGTCTTTGAGTCCCATTAAGTCTCCAGTGTTGTCACTGAAGCCCCCTCAGCAAGGGCTCACTGCCTGGGACAAGCCCAGGTCCCCAACCTCCACTCCTGCCAGGACTGGCAGTACCCCGTGGAGGGGAGCTGTAGACCCTGAGCTCACCTCTGGGAGACTCCCTCTTGTGCTTATGGACTCACAGTTCTGGGAGGGCTTTTCCATCTTGGTTCTGTATTTTAACCCCCTTCTGGCTGTCCTTAACAGGATTCCTGGCCTGGCGCCAGTGACTCCCCCACCCTGAAGCAGAAGTCACAGCATTCTGCTCTTCCTCTCCGTAAAGAGGTCGACTTTTCCCCACAGCTTGACTCCTCTCCCCGTTTCTCCAGTGAAAGCACCCTATTCTGTTCCACCACTCTATAGTTTTACTTTTGAAAAAGGACCACACTGTTTCACTTATTACTGATGTATCACATATTCCAGTATCTGACAGGGTAAGTCCTCCTTTCTTATCCTTTTCAAAATCAGAGTAGCCCCAGACAATCTGCACAGTTTATTTTACCAAATACACTTTAAAATTTTTTAATTAAAGTCTATCAAGTACTTAAATTCTAGTGGTGATTACATTAAATCTAAGAACTAACTGGGGCACTTATCTTTACTAAGTATTGTCCTTCCATCCACAACAAAATGCTTTCTCACAATTTACTTACATCATCTTGATTCAAGTTGAAGTTAATAGATTTCTTTGTGTAAATTTTATCACATCAGGTTCACTTCCAAAAACAGGTATCTTTTTGTGATAGTTAAAAATTTTTATCTACTAGAATATAAGCATGTTATTGAATTAATTAAGTAGCTATCTTTTGCCACAGTTAGGTATAATTCTTCTTTGAAATCAATTTAGAATTGTGAATATTGAGTAGATGCTAAAAAAAATATCCAGGATATGTCAATCTCATTTCAATTAGTATATATCTTTTTATTTTTATATAAGAACTGGATCTATCATTAGTTCAATTTATCAATAATGACAAAAGCAAAATTAGTTCCAGTCCTTGTGAGTCTACCACAAAACCTGCTGAGCCTGATAAAGGGGGGAGTACTTACAACAATTGACGTCAGGTCTTCACTTTCAAATCTGCCAATCGCCAGTTCCAAAGACTTATACACAGCTGCTGAGACACGCTGTGTAATCAGACGGTTGAGGTCTATTGACCTGCCAAGGAGCTGGGAAGAGGGATGAAGATGTCAGGGAAAGAACATGAGAATCTTAAGAACAACAAAACATAAACAAGCAAAGAATTCCCCCCAGAACTCTATTTCAAAAGACAAAAAAATTTGCTATAGAAGGTGTAGTGAATTGAATGGTGCCCCCGCAACAGTTATGTCTACGTCCCGGCCCCCATACCTGTGAATGTGACTTTCGTTGGAAATAAGCTCTTTGCAGATATAATTAAGGATCTTGAGGTGAGATCATTCTGGATTTAGGGCTCACCCTAAATCCAGTGAACCTTGTATGAGTGAGGCAAAGGGACGTTTGCCAGAGAAGAAGCCCATGAGAAGATGGAAGCAGAGACTGGAATGATGCTGCCACAAGGCAAAGAATGCCAGGGGCCACCAGAAGCTGGAAAACGGAAGGGAAGGCTCTCCCCTAGGGCCTTCAGAGCTTCCTTTTACTGGCTCTGCCAACATCTTGATTTTGAACTTGCTGGTCTCCAGACCTGTGAGAGAGTCAAGTTCTATGGTTTTAAGCCACCCAGTTTATGGTACTTTGTCACAGCAATCCTAGAAAACTAATACAAATTTTGGTACTGGGAAGTGGGCTACTGCTGTAACAAATACCTAAAAATGTGGACGTGGCTGTGGAATTGGGTAGTGAGCAAAGGCTGGAGGAATTTTGAGATGCAAGACAGAAAAAGCCTAGATTGCCTTGAAGAGACTGTGGACAGAATTATGTGTGTTAAAGGTGCTCCTGGTGAGGCCTTAGAAGAAAATGAGGAGCACATTATTGGAAACAAGTGATCCTTGTTATATAGTGGCTGACTTGTTCTACAGTTGTGTGGAAAGCAAAGCTTATAAGCAATGAACCTGGATATTCATCTGAGATGATTTCCAAGCAAAGTGTGGAAGGTGCGGCCTAGTTTCTCCTTGCTGCTTATAGTAAAATGAGAGAAGAGATAAAGTTGAGGAAGGAATTGAGCAAAAAATGAACCCAAACTTAAAGATTTTGAAAATTCTCAAGTCTATCCAGATTTCAAAAGATTGTAAAGCATGCTCTAAAGAAAGGGCCAAGGGTGTGGCTGTATAACCTTTTGTGGAAGAGATTAGGTGTGTGGCTCATGGATCTAATCAACCAACTCAGCAGAAGGCAAGAACAGAGACGAGGTTATCCTAGAAAGATCTGTGGAAAACCCTCAATGGCATTGCTGTTGTTGTCGTTAGTTGCAATCCATGGGGTGACTCATGGTGACCCCAGGTGCACAGTGTAGAACTGCTCCACAGGGTTTTCAAGGCTGTGACCTTTCAGAAGCAGATCACCAGAACTGTCTTCTGAGGCACCGCTAGGTGAGTTTGAACCACAAACCTTTCGGTTAGTAGTCCAGACTCAACCGTTTGTGCCACCCAGGGATTCCTGATGGCATGAAACCCTGTAAACTGCAAGGAGACTGACAAGATTTTTGAGAATGTTGTATCAGCAGAAACACTGCCAGCCCGGATTGAAGAGGTCAGAGACAGGATAAAATGAAGGAAGATTGTACTTCCAAAATTCTACAGGCAGTGCAAACAGACTGAAAGCTACTAGGCTACAAACATATGCTATCCTTCAAGAAGAAGGAAGAACAACTCCAGGACTGCAGACGCAGTGGCAGAGGTCAGAGAGGCAGGCCCAGAGGCGGGCATCAATGAGGCCTCCGTGGGCCCAGAGGGTGGATCAAGTGCAAAGGATTATTCTCAGGTCTTGAAGCCTGACGGAATTTTCTCTGATGCGTTTTGAACTTGTTTAGGACAGTGACCCTTTTATTTCTACTAATTTCTCCCTTTCAGAATGGGAATGTCTATCATATGCCCCACCATTATATTTTGGAAGCAGGTAACTTGTTTTCTAGGTCCACAGATGGATAAGAGTTTTGTCCCAAGACAGATCACACCCAGAGTCTCACCTATACCTGATTTAGATGATGAGATTTGGGACTTTTTGAGTTGATGTTTAGATGAAATTTTGGACTTACAGTTGAGGCTGGAATGAGTTAAGACTTTTGGGGATGGTGGAATGGGGTCAATGTACCTTTTGCATGTGGGACAGATGTGAATTCTGGGGGGACAGAGGGTGGACTATAGTGGATTGAATCCAATGTCTCCTTATAAGAGAAAGGAGATTTGACATTGATGGAAGAAGGACAAGTGAAGACAGAGGCAAAGATGAGAGTTATACTGTCACAAACCGAAGAACACCAGGAGCCACCCAAACCTGGAAGAGGCAAGGATTCTCCTCTACATGCTTCGAAAGGAGTACAGGCCTGCAGAAACCTTGATTTTAGACTTTTGGCCTCCAGAACTGTGAAAAAACAAATTTCTATTGTCTTAAGCTACCAAGTTTATGGCAAACTGTCATGGCGGCTCTAGGAAACTAATACTGATACAGTAGAAATTTAAACATTTTAGGTGAAATTATGAATATAGGTGTCATGACCAAATATCTTCTTTCCTAGAGTTGTGATTTTGGAAGCCACGGCCTTAAGGAACTTTTGCAGCATCTTCTGCATTAAATTTACACTTAAATCATGGCACAAACTCCAGAATTCACCAGAGCCCCTACAGAATCTGGGTCTGTCAATCATCACATCCCTTATCTTGGTGTTCAGGACCATCTCCCCCACATGGAGAGGCCTGCACAGTCCTGAACTTCACAGGCATTACCATGACGAATAAATAAAATTACTCCATCTCTGTTTCAGAGTCCTAAGAACATATCTGTACTGCAATATCACTTGAACATCATAAATATATGAATGGAAAAACCACTTGTAAAAAATGTCTCAAATCTAAATCTTTAGATAGTAAAATTATATGGAATTTTCCCTACAATTTTCTCTATTTCCCTAATTTTTTGTAATGTGTGTGTGTATATATATATATATGTATATATATATATACACACACACAGATATATATATATATATATATTTTTTTTTAAATAGCAAAAAATAAGCACTGTATATTTTTAAATTCATAGTATTGCCAGGAGAAAGCTTGTCTCTGACACTATCTTAGCTACTGAGTGTTTCTCACCTTCATTGTTTTCAAGCTTCTGGCATTTGGACTCAGAGAGAGGAGCTGCCCATGCTGCAAGCACTGGTAGGGCAGAATGCAGTGACAGCAGCAAACGTCTCCAAGTCTTCCCTTTGTGTTTGTTTCAATGGAAACTGTTTCTTTCTTTAAAATTTTAACACTTTATAAGCATGTTCACCCAGACACATAATGCACTGATGTCTATTAAAACCTAGTAAGCTACATGCAAGCGGCCGTCCAAGGCACAACAATTGGTCTCTATTCACCTGGAGCAACAGAGGAAGAAGGAGAGTCAGGAATAGGAGGAGGAGGATATGGAATGTGTGGCTAACTGCCTCCATGAGACCAGAAGAAATGAATGATGCTCAGCTACCATTACTGAACATTTTGATCAAAGATTCCATACAAGAATTCTGATCAAAAGGGGGAAAATGCAAAAAAGAATTTAAAATTCTCATGGTCTCCAGACTTCCTAGAGCCATAAAGGTTGGATGAACCCCTGAAACTATTGCCCTGAGATAATCTTTAAACCTTAAACCAAAAATATCACCTGAAGTCTTCTTTAATCCAGTTTAGCTTAACTAGTAAAAAAAAGTCTGCCTTGAGCACTATGCTGTTTTAAGAACTATATGGGATCAAATTGACAACAGCAACTTGAAAGATCATATAGGAACCTTAGGAGGCAGTGAATTTACATTAATGGGGGAGGAACAACTCAGCAAAGGAGAGTGACAATGGTTGCACAACTTGAAGAATAATCAATCTCACTAAATGATGCATGCAGAAACTGTCGAATTGGTGTATGTTTGCTGTGTACATTCGCAACAACAAAATAAATTATTTTAAAAAAAGAAAACCTTGTTAACTATAAAAAGGCCCAACATTTTCAATACATGCTACCCTCTTTCACTGTGGCTCAGGAAACACCCTCACTCACTTGCACGTGCCTCTGTTTGAGCAGTGTCTCGTAACGGTTGGACGGTGGCAGATGAATCGTTGCTCCTTGATTCTTACATTCTGATCTTAACCGTTTATCAAGAAGCAAACTAATGAAGAGAAGAAACTTTGTAAGCCACTACTGTGAATTTTAATGGAAATGTCACATCAAATGACCAAAGACTCTGTATCAAAATCACAAACCAATTAAACAATATTTCAGATAAATTAATAAAGAATGTTTGCCTTGAGCATTGTGCCGTTTTTCAAGAATTCTCTCTATGAGACCAAATTAACAAGAGTAATTCCAAAGCACAAATGAGACTCTTAAGGGGCAGAGAGTCTAAGCTGACAGTGGTGAAACCATACAGGCAGAGACAGAATGGTGAACGATGTAAAGTACATAACCACTGTCAGCAAAGTGTACATGGAAAAAGTGCTGAAGGTCTGTATGATTTGCTGTGCATCTTTACACACACACACACATACACAAATCACAGATCACTCACCTTCCTGCCATAACCTTATAATATGCAAATATCTGGTCTGCTAGCTTATAAACAAACTGATCAAAACATAGATTCACCTGAGTAAAAAGAAAAGCACATTTTAGATTTTGATGCCCTAAATCAAGACCAAATAACATGACCTAAAAAAACACAAACACTTTTGTTAAGGCAACTGATTGAGACTCCTCTTAAGAGAAACTTGAAACAATCTAACTGTCCAGTCACAAAAAATTAAATAAGTTATTTGTGTGATCACTACATAGCCATTGAATGTTATGTATCAGAATTCTTACTGAGGCAGAAAAATGTTCCTATCCTCTTAAGTACAAAGCAATATGAAGTAGTCCTTCTTCATCACGTGCTCCGGGGGGGGGGGGGGTTAATCTGCATTGCTTTGGGGGCTCCCCACTCTGAGGAACAGTCTGCCGCCAGCCCCTGCTTCACAGGAGCCCCGCCCTTGGGCGTCTCCTCGGGCTTGCTCTGGGGGAGGGGCGGCAGCTGCAGTGGGCACAAAGGTCAGTCAGTAGACACCAGAGTGTATTTACCCCTGGGACACACATCCTCACTTGCAAAGGGGGGCTAGCACCCACCCCCAGAGCTGTCAACAGGATGCAGTGAGCAGAGCCCTGCCCTGGCAGGCTCAGAGGCCCTGAGAGGGACACATCTGGGACATTTTCCCCGAAGAATCGCTTTCAGGTGCTGCTTGTGAGGAGTCAGAGGAAGAAGCCCAGAAGCATAAAGCCCACAGAGTTCAAAAGCAATCTGCTGAGGTTAAATTCTCTTAAGATACAACTAGAGAATAAGATTCATCTCCTTACTGCGTGTATACTGATCTAAGAACTTCATTTGTAGGAATTTGTCCTGAAGAAATACTCAAATGTGAATAAAAAGCATCTGCAAGGAAGTTCATCGAAGTATTATTTATAGTATCGAAAAACTAAAACTAAAGAAATAAAATAGGGATTGGTTCAATCCATTCCATGAAACAAAAGCACCTGTTTTACGGTGTGTTGAGAAGATAGATAAGTTTACGAGGAAATGCTGACGACCTGCTGTCTGGTAAGAAGCATGCCTTTCTACAGGTAGATACACAGAAGTGTGGAGTGCTCACATCAAAACATGTACCTCAAAAGTTTATTTTGTTGTTTAAACTTCCTTGCATTAAAAAATAATAAGCTTAACTTCTTTAACCATCAGAGAGAAGAGAAATTCAGTTCACTGTTCTGAAACGAGGCCCTCACCTCGGCCTCGATCTCGTCGTAGAGGAACTGCTTGCTGAACCTGGTCAGGGCGTAGTGCGCGCTGTCGTTGTACAGGTCCAGGGAGTAGAGCACGTACCTGCGGAACAGCAGCCGTCACCTGCTGGGCGTGAGCAAGCCCACACCCAGTTAGTTCTCACCTCTAAAGGCTTCCTGACCCCTAAGAAATTTAACTCTTTCATTCTTTCCTCTCTCGTGTGAAGAAAAAAAAAGTTCTCGTTTCAGACACCAAACTCTGCGCTCTTTCAAGAAAGGCCGTGGTAGTGGCAGGAGGCCCTGCGGTTCCCAGCTCTGAGCCCGAGGCGGACTTTATGTGCCCCGCCTTCCCGGAGGACGGGGACAGTACCGAGGTGTCACTCGTCTGTTTAGGCTATGCACAGATACATCAGAGCTCACCTAAAACCATATTCTCACTTCAGGTTTTCACCACAGATATGTAGTATTTTTATAGCATCAAAAACCAGTATTTTCTCATTTTAAAGAATGAAAGGTCTGACTTAAAAGGACAATTTATAGCAGCCCCAGGCGCCACCACCACCACAGACATGGTCCAGCACTGGCCCGTGGCCAAGAGCCCACCTTCCTTTCGCCCTGTGTCAGGAGAAAAGACGGCCATGTGCCCTCCCCCTGGGAGCCTCTGCCACAAGTGCACTCGGTACACAACTGCCACTCGGTACAGCCCCATGTGGTCTCCATGGTCACTCAGAATGGAGCCTTGGGAGGAGGTGGACGCGGCTGTCCTGGGCCTGTAGCAGGCATCACTGGGACAGCTGACTGCTGACAGGCATGCCCCATTCCTGGGGCGGGGTGCCGCTCTCCTCGCTGCTGGAAGACCATCCCCTTGGCTCCCCAGTCTGTTAACCACAGGATACCTCACTTTTGAAAACCTTTCATTCTATGGGCTTCATATTTTGAAAGACTCTACCTAGCTGCTTAATTGGCAATTCCTTCCCAATTCCTCTGGGTCCGAGGTTCTGGCCCATGAGAGGCCAGGCTGCATGGGGAGTGGGCACCTGGACACCCCGCACCCTAGCACTGCCGCGTGCAGGCCTATGCTAAGCTGGAGAAGGGCCAGCACCCAGATCTCACTCCCTGGTCCTGCCTGGATTCCCAGGGCCTGGCACAGCACCTACACATAGGAACTTGATCAACCTTGCTGCCTGGATGCCTGGTTTCAGTCTGAAGCCAAGAAACTTGTTACTTTTATTAATCTCCAATGTCTTACCTTTCAAATGAAATCCTGGCAACAGCCCAGTCCCCTTCCTCACCTCCCAGTTCCCAGGTGCCCTCAAGTTCCTCCAAGTCACCATGAAGAAAGGAGAACAACACACAAGACAGGCCCCCAGGATTCTCACTCCATCATCGACGCCTCTTTGGTCTCCAAGATGTGGTCTGTCAGGATCCAAGGCATCGACATCTCAATGGGGAACTGGATTCTCCTGCCCATTGTCAGCTCCAGGAAGAACTCTCTGAACCACAGCTGTGAGAGGTCACAACACTGCTGCAGCGTCTCTTTAAGGATTCAAATGACACCATGTTAATCTTCCAAGGCAGAGAAACTCAGGAAAGGTGAATGCCCCCAACATGCAGGAGAGGCGTGAGCATGGGGGTGGTTGGCATGCGCCTACACCAGGGGCACAAACAACCACGGATGTATGCACACGCAGCAGCCACCCTCACCCACACAGGCAAACTCATGGAGAGTTGGCATCCAGACCCAGAGGGGGCCCGCTGCTCCACGAAGGTGCTGGCCACACAGCCCTGTGTGCCCACGATAGGGACTTCATCAACCCCATCAGGCCCTCGACAGGACCATGAGAATAAGTGTCATGTTTTAAGTGAGAAAAAAAATCCTGGATTATTTTTATTTAGGATAAGAACCAATCTCTAGGGTGTACCATCACATGCTCAACCAGTGAAGGTATCTAACGCAAAAACATAGGCAGTTTCCAAAAAAATGTTTCAACCCTTTGAGAGTTAAAAAACAAATATGTCACTCTCTGCTGCAGTGCCTGCAGCATGCCCATGGGCACCACAGGGGAGCAGCATCACAGACAGGGAGAGGCCTCCTGCTGTGAGCAAGGTGAGGGAGCGCAGGGGTGGACATGGATGTAGTGATGACGCGTGCAGGCACCTGAGGGCGGTGAGCAAGCCCTGCACAGGTCAACATGGCCAGACGTCCCAGGAGGCAGGCAACCTGCCACCTCCACGTCTGACCAGGGCAGTCCCATCTGTGCTGGGGGTGCAGTTCCTGGGCTTTCTATCTCTGTCTGCCTCTAGGCACAGGCGACAGGTTCCATGCGTGTGTGTTTGTGGCCCCCTCGGCCCTGCGGCCTGTTCTTCTAACACAAGTGATGCCGGCCAGGCGGCACACACTGCACAGCCAGGATTCTCTACCCGCCACGTGCACATGCCCAGGGCCGGGGCCCTCACAGGCGGCCAAGCAGTGGAAGCAATCTGATGGTGTTAGCGGTGTTAGAGCATGCGGCTGGGTAGCGGCCGTCAGTATCTCTTACCACTGAAATTTATCAAGTGGGTGTAGAAGAATGACTCTCGATGAAATTTTTCTATGTCCAATATGGTGGGTCCCTCAAGGCTACTTCTCAAGGTTTTCTTGGAACCACTTTTGTCTGCAATGAGGGACTCTAGCATGGTTCTCACCATATAAAGCTGCATTATCCAAGACATTTGTGGGGGAAAAAATACATGGTACATTAGTCAAGCCACACTCAGAGAAACCCCCAGAGAAGGACTGCTCCGCTACAACCTGCCCAGCGCCTGAGTCGGGTGGGAGGGAGCTGTATAAGACAGCACCCACGCCAGCCAGCCTGGCTCCTCCTCCAGGGACCGGCACCCGCCAACCAGCTGCCCGGGAGAAAGAACAACTTGTAGCGAAACAGTTCACCTCTGTGCTGTGAATGTCAACAACAACAAAAAAAACAAATGAAGTCATGTCTTACCACCAAAGGTTAAAAGAGGCGGATAGATGTAGGACTGCCTCAGAAACGCGTTTACCACATGCAAGAGCCTTTCCATCCCCAAAGCCTTGAGCTGCCGCAGCAGCTCAGCAGAGCTCAAGGACTCTGCCATGGTGCGCACCATGTAGAGCTAGACACCAACAGACAAGGAGAGCGGGAGAGAGTCGTTAGTGACGACACACACGCTCACGAGGGCAGACACGGACGTGACGACACACACGCTCACGAGGGCAGACA